TTGCTTATTTTCCTCTGTTATCTGTCTGCACTGATGCTCTGAACTGAAATAAAATAGATTGAAAAACAAATTGGTGCACCCTGGCTCCTTTTACTGGATTTTTCATTATCCTCTGGGAGAGCTGCCTGCTCTGGCCCTTTGGAGCACCCCAGAGAAAGGTAATGACCCTGCAGCCTCTTTCAGCACTTTAAAGACTGAATTACTTTTGGTGGGAGAGGTAAGAAAATTGAATTGCAGTACATGATTTTCTGGCTATCCAATAAACCTCTTTGTAAGGTCATCATCTGCGTAACAAGAAAACAGGAAACTGGTAAATGCACACAAAAAGTGTTCAGATTCTGATTTAAGGCTGTCACTGTCCTTAACTCCTCAGAGCTAAAACCAGAAAGCTGCTGATCACTTGGACGCTGCTGTCATACCCGGGGGGCCACAGGGCCAAGGAATATGAGAGAAGGAATCTCGGCTTTTTGTCCTCCTGCATTTACTGAACTACAGGAGTCCTGTGAAACGAGCCTTGGAGTAAGTGCAAAATGGGCAGCAGTGGGGTGAGCTCCTCTCACAGAGGGAGGGAGTAGACCTGTGCTGGAACCTGTGCTGCCTTCGCTTTGGATTTTAGCCCCCTTGAGCAGAGAGCTGAGAGGGCAGGGAGCAGGAGGGCTGTTGGGCTTCTTCTGTGGGACCCTCCTGTCAGCTCTAACAAAAGTGGCATTTATTTAAGATGCACAAGTTGGATTATTCCATTTTGCTTATGCCTTTTTGTCCACTTTATTTTTTTATGCCTGCTTTGTTTTAGCTTTTTAGAGCTTGCAAAGGAATTGCGTTCTACTTTGACACCAAGTGTGCAGGTTGCCTTTAGTAAGCTTCATTATCGGTCTGTGCATCGGCGCTGTGCTGGCAGCAGAGGGAGCACAAGGCTGTGGGTTTGTGCCCTTAGAAAGCAGTGTGGTGGTATTGCTTAATTTCTTGGCAATAAAGCAATATTTTTTTTTAAAGCTAAAAAAAGCCTGCTCCGTTGGCATCCTAAGCAGTAATTTCAGGCATCTTCACATTGGCCACTGGCTTCCTTCTAATCAATGCTGGAAGTAAGTCTTGGCATTATTTTATTCATGCCAGCACATGTGTTGTCCAGCATCTTGTATGTAAGCAACCTTAATTATGGCAGTGGGGGGCACAGGAGATGCTTTTGCTAAGACTGTTGTGGCATTAAAATTCTTTCTGTGCCTTGTGTTGGGCTTTCTGACAGTATGAGGGTACTGCAGCAGCCCCGTAACTGCAAGAGAGGGATGGTCTCATCTGAGCACCTTTGAAGCACCTATCTCTCTAGCATCTGATTGCTAAAGTGCTCAGTCCTAAATTTCAATTATCCTTTGATGAACATAGTGAAGTGGATGGCTTTTGAATCTGTTGGAACTGGATCAAAGTAATTATATGAATAATGAAGATAAGTAATTTAATTTGGAAACTCCTTTTCAGTTATGTAGGTAGGATTGGGTGTTCCTGTTTTCTCCTCTGTGAAGAAGCGTTCTTGCTATCAACATAACCTTTTCTTGTTCTAATGTAGCTTAAAGAAAAAGACGTGATCAGCTCAAACTGTGGTGGTGATGAGGGCAGTAATCCCTGGGAAAAGGAAGAAAGAGCTGGAATTGGATGGTGGAGGATAATGTTTGATGCAGATCCATTCTGGACCTCCTGTACTTGGGAGGTTTGGAAGAAGGGGCTTCTTTAATGAAGTGAGTGTCCTGAGAGCAGTCACAGATGACAGCTGCTGCTTAAGGGTGGCAGAGGACATTTATGTGCATGTGGTCAAGTACTGCCTTGGGAATTTTAGACACTTCTGAAAGTCTGGCTCAAATCGCTTGCTTTCACAGTCTCACTGGAAGTCGGTGGGATGAAAACTTCTAAGCCACCTTGGTGTTTTCCCAGGGAAGCTGGCAGGACAAGGCTTAAGATGACCCTGATATTCCTCAAAAGATTCATTTTGCAAAGCCCTTTTGTGCAGCTAAGATGAGCAAATATCTCTGTCTCCTTTCTCCCTTCTGACTTGAGCTGGTATTTTGGAAGAGAACAATGCTCATGTAGCTCGAATGTCAGAGGCCTCAGAAACAGCCCACTTAAACTATGTTTTACCTTAAATTTGAAATTCATAAAAAGTCCCCAGTGAGCCTGGCTTCAGAGGGGATGCACAGAGTCAGCTTTGAGCTGAAAAATTGGCTTTTTCTTACCAGTGGTGCTGACAGAGGCAGATGGCTTGAGCTCTGTGACCACTCATTGCTGCAGAAATGTTAGTTGCCTGTTCTCAGAGATTCCCAGTTCAACCCAGTCCCACAGCCAAATCTCCCAAAAGCCATCTAGAACGTGGCTGGGAGATGAAACCAGACAAATTCGGGTAAGAAACAAGGCATGTCATTTAACAGTTAGAATAACTATGGGAGTGGAGGGTCCTCCCCCTAAAAATCAGTTCATTGCATGACTGGGCACCTTGCTGGATGAGAAGCTTTAGGGAAACCCAAGTTACTGAGTCTGGAAATCTCAGAGGCAGCAACGGATGAGCAATTGGATTGCTTGTGGTGGTCCCTTCTGGCTGTAAGCTTTGAATAAAAGCCTGAAGCATGTTCTAAGTACGGGGCAGTTGCCTTGAGGATGGTCTTGGCTATTGCCCCTCCTTAAAAAATATCTGTTCTCTTTGGCAGTACTGGGTCTTTAGATTCCTGTAATTAAAGTAGTAAAATGTATTTAAACAAATATGTCTGATCTAACTGCTGAGGACACATTTTCCAATGCTCTGAATTGCTGTAATAAAGAAGGGGAGGTGCTGCGAGGCTGCTTAGAGCTTTACTCTTTTGAGCTGTCATGGGCAAATATATCTTCTGTGTTCTTGCCAGAAATAGAGGGAGCAGACGGTGCTGCTGCTTCTTCCAGCTTGCCACAGTGGAAGCAATAGGTTTTATGCAGAAGGCTATTCATGGCAAAGTGAGCAGACGTCTCTTCCAGGACATCGATGTTTCCTGCTTGTCCTTTTGTAGGAAGAGCCACAGCTATTATTATTTAACCAGCAGACCCAATTTCATCTCAGATACTGGAAGTCCTTGAGCTCTAGGGAAGGAGTGGGTGGACTAAAACTGCTATTACATTGAGCCTGGCAAAAAGAATGGGTCTCTTTCTTCTCCCACGACCAGCAGCAACTCTGCTGATGGCAGCTTGGTTACTCTTGATATACAACAGCGTGGGAGGATAGCAGAGCCTGCATGTTTAATAGGATGGAAGCGCAGGTGGCCAGCCTTGTGTGGGTGAGGGGGTGGATCTGGTACTTGCAAAGTAGCAGAGATGAGCTGCAGACCAGGCAGCCTTTGGTAGCGATGGGCCCGGAGAAGCTCTGGTTCCTGGTAAGCAGGAAAGTGGGCTATCAGCGACTGCTTAGTTTTCCCTGTCTTCCAGAAAAGGACCCACCTACCTGGTGCTCTCACTTCAAAAGTATTCAGATGGAGAGCATGACACCTCTGCTTTGAGGTGGTGTCAACACCATCTGTGATCTCATCCTGATGGCTGAAAGGCAAGTTATGTAGTGCTTCATCATTAAAGCACAGGAGAGCTCTTGGCTGCACAGGAGAGCTCTCATGTTCGGGTGTTATCCACCAACCAGTTGCTCAACCATCTGTAGCTTTGATATGAAGTGATCTGGTGGCTCCTCCTGCCTTCCCGCAGGCAGTGCCATGCAGAAGGACAGCCGAGTCCTGTGGACAGGAGGTCAGGCTTCCTACAGAGCCTGAACTTCAGAGGGGTTGGCATCTCGCTCCTGCAAGGTGCCAACTCAATCTGTGCCCAGCATCTGCTTGCAACTTGCCTTTTGGTGCAAGCTAGGAGTTGCTCTGAGCCTGCTTTTGTGCAAGGCAGTGCTTCAAGGTGGTGTATGAGCGCTGGCTCATTAAAGCTTGTGCCCTGATGACAGGCAGTGCTACTTTGTTTCTTTATGAGAGAGTAGGAAGCTGGGTGTGAAAATGTTGAGCAGTTGAAGGTCATGTAAATCGTGTCCATCCAGGTGCTCTTCCTTTAGCACTCATGCTGTTTTGTTTCAGCATCATTGCCAGCACCACTGTTAGGCATCCTAGTGTGTAGACAAGGCAGTAACATCTTTATCTTGTCTAGCTTAGATAAAAACTCCAGGTATCCCAGGGATAAAAATTCTGTTGGCAGACGTCTTGTGTTTTTCTCCCTACTACAATATGGGGAAAAAAGTAAAAGGGAGGCTCTGCTACATGGGATTAGAGCTGTGGACTTTTGCTTTGGAGAAAAGACACAGATCATGTCACATCCCTTTTAAGCTGATGGGTTAGAGGAGTGTGGTGTGCTAAGGAAGGAGGTGCCGAAGGTCCTGGGCTGCCAGCAGACTTCTATCTCCACCACTTGTGTGCCCCTGCTGATCTTGGCAGTGATGGAGGGAGAAAATTAATTGGTCTCAAACCACTTAGAGCTTTGCAGGTCAAAACCCACACCTCAGATTCTCCTCTGGGTTTGGTAGATGGTCTGAAGAGCTTGCGCTGCTACCTGCGCTGCTTCCCCACCTGCCCATTCAGAAACTAGCTACTGAATTCAGCACCAGTGGCTGAACTGAAGAGCATTCACAGCTCTTGAGCTCTATCACGGGCACATCAGGGAGTTTCTTTCCCTTTTTATAACTCCTGGGACTCGGTACTCATTCCCAAGCTCTTTCTGAAGTATTTATATTTGAGCAGTATCCAGACTCTTCAGCTCTAGTGGGGTAAGGTTCTGAATTTGGGGAGTGTAAGTTCGGAAGGGGCCCTTTCATTGCTGTAACCACTGAACTGCAGCATAGTAAGCTAGTAGGAAGTGTAAACTGGAAAGTAATTTTTGTTTACTCTTTCTTTCCATCTTGCTACCTATCCAAGCAAAGTGCTAACACAATCCTTTGTTTTTTCACTAGCTGGGCTTTGTGAAAGCAGCATGGAGACCACGGCGAGAGAAGGCCAGTAGACCCTGGTGCCATGGAGCTCCCCAGTTACAGCAAGCAGCTGCTGCAACAGCTGTATGCTCTCTGCAAAGAGCAGCAGTTCTGCGACTGCACCATCTTCATCGGGAATGTTCATTTTAGAGCACACAAGGTGGTTTTGGCTGCTGCCAGCCTGCTTTTTAAATCCTTGTTGGACAACACAGACACCATCTCCATCGATGCTTCTGTGGTGACCCCTGAGGAGTTTGCACTCTTGCTGGAGATGCTGTACAGTGGCAAACTCCCACTGGGGAAGCACAATTTCACCAAAGTAATCTCTGTAGCAGATAGTCTGCAGATGTTTGATGTGGCTGTTAGTTGCAAAAACCTCCTCAGGGACCTCATCAGCTGTTCTTCTCAGGACCAGGTAGTGAGAGAAGTCTCCTGCCAGGCAGCAGACTCATCTGGAAACCACGTTGAAGCTGCTAGCCTGCTCCAGTCTGAAAAACCTGCTGCAGGAAAAACAGATACCCTCCTCCCTCAGAGAGTTTCCCCTTCTGGCCCTGTGGAAGGAGAAATGAAAGCAGATGTTTCTCCTCCTGGACAGGAACTTACCACGAATCACATCTGGGTTCACCAGAATGTGATGCCAAGTGACTCCAGATCCCTCTGGGAGGATTCGGGCTCTCATCCTGGTCAGCCTGCCCATGCCGAGCAGGATGGCTGTGTAGAAGAGGAGCTTGCTGAGCCTCTGGAGGAGAAAGACAAAGCAAGGGATTTAGGTGAGACTTTACAGATCTGGATGCGGCATTGCTTCTTATTTGCAACTGAGTTGACTCAGGTTTTCCCGTTATGGGTAAATCTTTTCTTCTGTGTTCTTTTTAGTTTGCCCTGGGTTGGGAGTGGCATGGACATGTCCTCCTTTTTTGCAGGGTTTTTCATCGTTTGGCACTATGCAGTACTGTCCTTTGGCCTTTGCAGTTGCTTCACTCTCCCCACTTTACCGTACTGAGCAAAACTTTTCTTACCCGTGCATGCGATTGCATCTGATGTACAGTGGGTTTTGCGGTAGTGCAGGACGTGAGGTTGATAAGGCAATCTGCGTAACAGTGAGTGAACAGAGTTGCCTGCTAATGGTACCTTATCCCTTAAGCTCCTGTTCAGCATGGGAGGAAAACAGAGGCTGTACTGGGTTTAAAATAAATGTTCCATTTAGAACTGGTGCTAAATAAACTGTTGGTTTTCCCTCCAGGCTGCGTGATATCTTTAGAAGGGATTTGTGAGTCACAGTTTGGCTATTATAGCCAATATGCTGGTTACAAAGTGATGCCTTTCAATCACATCATGCTTTCTGTGAATCCCTTCAATTAGCAAATAACTCATCTTGTTTCTCTTACACAGCAGCAGAGAGCAAAAGCTGTAAACTGGATTTCTTTCTTCGATATGAAAGTGTTTTCTCTGAGGCCCTTTCTGATGCCCAGGCTGTGCTGAAAAGACTAGAAGAGTGCAGAGAAATTGATGCCTCTCAAAAGGAGGTAGGTGTGTTTACCTGGGTAAATGATACAAGTTTTTTCTTCATGCTGCTGAGGGCTAGAACAGTTTGTGCCCTGCTTCGGAAATTGTTTCATGAGAAATTGGGACTCTGGTGCCTGGTTGTTTGAAGGGCAGCTCATTCTTACCTGTGCAACACCCCAGAGAGAAGCATCTGTAAGAGGAAGCTGCTCGTGCACATAGGTAAAGAAGTATATGTCGTGTCCTGAAGATGTCTTTGTTGTGTTGTAGGAGAGCTCCAGTGCTGACTTCTCGCCTCCTTTTAATGGCATTTGCTTCGGGAACTGTATTGACTTGTAAACGACTGACATACAAGATCCCAAAATAGTTCCCAAGCCCTCAGCGAGGGCGTGCTGCAGAGCTTCTGCTCCGCTCTGTGTATGGCAGGCTTCTCGTGGGGGGTGCTACAGGGGGCTTAGGGGTGCCTCCCTGAGGTGCTTCTCCAGGTGATGTGCACCTGTAGAAGCAGTCATTGCTGTTGGATGATGCTCGAGTTACTGTTGGAGGGGGTATTTGCGCCTGGTGTGTGGTTAATGCTGAAGGGAGCTCTGGACTCTGAACAACGGTAGCCAGATACCAGCTGTTGTACCTGCTCAGAGCCACGTCTGTATTGGTGTTGCAGTGGTGCAGGAGGACACAGAGCTTGGAAATGATTGAGGCCGATCTGGGTGTGCACTTGTGCTGGCTGCGCAATGCTGCACCATCACAGGGTCTGAAAAATCTGTAGCCACTACGGTGTGAGAATGGGACTGTGCCTGCTCTCCTCACCCCAGCTGTTTCTGACAGAGCATTCTTCATAGCAGGCTGCATGAACTGCCCTGTATACCTTTTCTGTATGTGGAAAAATGAATGCAGCTGTTTTATTGCTGCCTTTTCAGTGACTCTGTGGTTAGCTGACCTTTTGAAGCTGAGAAATGCTGTTCTGTAGGTCAAGGGGCTGCAATGCTCTTTAGGTTTCCATGTGCTTGCTGGTGGGAAGCTGTCTGGATTCAAGTCATCTTGTCCCTTGAGTAACAGTGTGACCATGGGATGCGGGACGTTTTGGCGGTGGTGCCATTCTGCTTTTAAAAACCCAAGGCAATGTGTTTATTAGAGAAAAAGGAAAAAGGATGACAACAGGAAGGAGAATTCCCTTGAGCTGGGAAGTGCAGGTTTCTTTTCTGATGAGCCTTTAAATCTTCTTGGAGGGAAGCCGGTGTTCCCTTAGCTGCTGACCCTCCTGATGGTGTTGAACTTAACATCTCTGGGGCTTTTGGAGGGAGATGTGGGTTCTAGCTCATGTTTGTAGTAGCAAGCTCGAGCTTGGCTGGGCTGACAAGCACTTGTGAGTGCATTGCTCTCAGCATGCCTGCATGCTGCAGGAAGGATTAGGTTTTTGCATGTTTGTTCATTGGCCTGATGAGAAAAATGTATCAGGTTTAAGGTTTTACCTATCCTGCGTCTTGGCAATTGGAGCAGAGCCTGGAAGGGTGCTGTGCAATGTGGGTGGGTGCTGCCAGAAGGGATTTGGCAGCTCCATGCACCTGTGCCAGCAGGCATTGCCCATGCTGGCGTGCCTTTCCTTGCCCCCGTGCTGCCTCCACAAACGGCACCTGCAAAGTGCCCAGGCAGGCGTGCTGCCTTGCTTCTGCTCCGTGTTACAGCCCCGTTGTCTATGGCTTTGCAGTAACTGTTGTTTCGTGTTTCTTCAGCACCTCCAAGACCCGGCAAGTGAGGTTCGCAGAGGAATGCCTGGACCTTTGCGCTCCCGAGTTGTTGCAGCAGGAGCCAAGCAAGAGGTTGCGGAGCTTGGAGACAGTTTGGGTGTCTGACTGCAAAATGGCAGCTGGACAATTTTTCTGCAGCTATAAATAAGCACTGAATAAATGAGAAATGGATTTTCTTTAAGCCTTCCTGAAAAATCACTTCTCAGCTGTGACAGGCATGAAAAGTGTCAGCCCCAGGGCAGCATGGGGGACGGGCTGCAGCCTGTTGTAAGCCAGGGCTTGGCCAGATCTGTCCCTCTTTGAGCTCCCCTCTGGTACATGCAGGACCTGTGGGCACCAGCACTGCACCTGGGTTCTGTTTCCAGCGGACAGAGTAGCTTTTTTTCCACAAGAGCCTGGTGTTTTCTTCGGGGTGGGGGAAAACACAGCGGTGTGTTCCTAAAGTCATGCTTAAAGTGCAGGTTCAGCTCCAAAGAGCCCAGCTGAGGATGCATAATTAAGGCTGAGATTGTGCCAGTGGTAGACGTAAATGGATTTTTTTTTTCTCTCTCTCCTTTTTGTTCCCCCCCCCTGCCCTTCCCCTTGTTTTGTATTATTTTGCCAGTCATTTGCTTGAAGTCTCTTACGTGCCTCAGGGCAGGTAAAATTCAGTCTGGAAGCTGGTCAGATGCTGTTTCTTTGCACTGAGCAGCCTTGCTGGCTGTGTGTGCCCTGCCACAAGGGAGATTCCCATCCCTCGTGCGTGCCCTCCTGCTCAGGAGCCTTTTATGGGTGGTTTATAGGCAAGCAGTGATTTTGAACAGCAAAGCCTGGGCAGTGGTAGGGGCTTACGAGTGTTTGTGGGGGTTTTGCAAGCCTGCCTGCAGACACCAAGGCTGTCCTGGTGTTCAGGCTCCTCTGTTTACAGTGGGATTTTGCCTTGGATGTAGCCTCTGTATTTCTATTCCTTTGCTCTTGAGCTTGTCTCTGTGTGGGTCCCTTGCTCCCATCTGGTATTGCTGCCCTGTTTCCTGCTGCCTCCAGTGGTGATTTGTTGCGTCCTGGGGCTTTTCCCCAAAGACGTTTGTGGTGCAGGGCTTGTTTTTGTGAGAACTGTTGCTTCTCTCCCGGTTTGGTGTTATGTTCTGCATCCTGGGCTGAAAAATGCAAACACTTTGCTTTTCTGAGTAGGGAGATGTGATTTTGGGGTTGTTTTTTGTTTTTGTGTCTCTCTCTGTATCTCACATAAACTATTCCTATCTAATTTGGTTCTGGCCTGGATGAAACCTGCTTGGAAATGAGAACAAGACTGAAATTGCAGTAATTTGGGGAAGCGTAGAAGAGCTTTGCTGGTGTCAAGTCTTATCTTCCTGTGCTCTCTTAGAGAAACTCAATTCAAATTATTGCACAGCTCATTTGTTCCCTCTGCTACTGGGTTCAGATGAAGTGGGGGAGCGTTGATTCTCCTGCGTAGAATAAATGTCACTGTGCTTGTGGATCATTTCCATTGCCTATGGGCCTGTCCAATTATTGTCGTCCTTCGTTTGCAGTTGCAAGGATTTCTGGATGCGGCAGAAGACAGAAGTTTCCTGTTATCTTCTGCATCCTGATTAGGAGTGATAGGTTTTGAGGGTTTTATTTTGTGATGGGAGAGCTGGAGAACGATTTCCCTCCCCTGTTCTGGGGTACTTGTGTGAAGGTTTGGGCTAAGCTTTTGTTCCTGTTGTGTGGAGCAAGCAGGGGTCAGTGCTCTCCATGGAGCCTTCCTGATGCTGGGCTCTCCCTCATCAGTCACGTACAAATGCAGGCTTGAAAAAAAAAAAAAAGCACTTCAGATATCTGAACCAGAAATGGGAACAGAGTTTTTCCTCTGATTATTGTACACACAACGATAGCTCATGGGCTTCATGGTGTGGTCATAGCCTATGAGCTTTTCTGTGGTCCACATGTGTAGAGCCAGTCCCTGTGCTGTCCATGCCACTGACCTTACGGGCAGTGGCTCTGTCTGTGCAGGTTTCCAGAGGCCTTTTTAATATGTTCTGCACCTTATGCACATTGAAAATTAACTGGTAAAAAACCCCAAAGCAGCTTGTGTTCAGAGGACTGATGATGATGATGATGATGTCTCTGGACATTTCCCTGCAGTGTCCAGCCTCCTACAGTCAGGGACTTTGCAGTTCTGCTCGGGGAATGAAGGTGGCATTGGGGTACAGGCACAGGACTTGCCATGTTCAGGGGTGAGTCTTGTAACCGAATGTTCCTCGGCTTGGGGGGGAGGGGTCTGGGGGTAACCAGCTTCATCTCTTCCCCTAAACTCCGTGCCTTCCCAGTCTGGCAGATCCCACCCCACTGCCCCTTTGGGTGCTTGTGTTAGCTCTAAAGCTGATGCTTGAGTGCAATCACTCAGTCACTGAAGTGGCTTTTTGCCGAGACATGATCTCACTGAAGAAAAAGCTGTAACCCTGCTCACCCACCTGCAGGGAAGAGCCTAGTGACCAGCTGGGCTCCTGGCTACACTGACCTGCGCTCTCTCTCTCCCCACCATCCTCTTCAGTCACAGGTCAGCGCAGTCCTGGGTGGGATGGGCGTTACTTGCCCATCTGGTCAGGGTCCTCTTGGTGTCCCAAGACATCCCTCAGGACCACACACCAGCTGAGTTCAGCCCAGCTCAGGGTCACTCCCTGCAGGATCATCCACCAGCTGCTCTTTGGGCATGCCTGTCCCCACCCAGAAAAACTTAAATCTCATGATAATGTTGGAGAAGGAGGTCCCAGAGGTGCTGTTTTCCTAGGAGTGTTGTGAGTTGGTGTGAGGAGGGAGCAGAGTGCCAGGCTGGGAGGACACAGTGCTAACTCAGCTCTTGCTGAGCAGGTTGTGGCTCTGCATGCGCAGCCTCATGCATCGTCCTGGCCCTGCCAGAGGACATTGGAAGGAGCAAAGGATAGTAAGGAGCAGTGGGGCAGAGCAAGAGGTCCTGCAGTGGGGTGAAGGGACATGGCAGTGTAGGAATTGATTGTGTTAGGAAAGAAGTCTGGAAAAATGTGGAAGATCTGGAGATGACATGGAGATAGACGTACCTCCTGCAGTGTTACTTGCAGGGATTCCTGTTCAGTGCTTGCCTTTGTGCTGCCATGGACAGGGGAGCTTTGAGATGGGGATGGCTGTTTCATGGTGTGTGACCGTTGCGGTACTGAGTCAGGAGTGTTGTGGCCGCCAGAACTGACACCCTCAACTGGAACCCAACTTCTCAGTGGATGTTGAACCTATTTGGTGGTACAGCTCAGGCTGAAGCCAGATCTTGGTAAGCAGGAATCCCTGCTCGAGGAGTCCGTCTCTTCTTCCAGTCTGGAAGCTGGGTGTGTGCTAACCTGTACCAGTGTGGCCATGAAGGGTTTTGCAAGTGTCCCAGGCAGTGAAAGCCTGATGGATCAGGCTGTAATGTGTGGGCACATTATGACTAAGTGGAAGCTGAGGTTCCAGCTCATATCAGTATTTCTCCATTTTTACCAGGATCTTTGGGAGTTATTAGAGCTTCAGAGTAAGCCTAAAATGCACTGTGTGCTCTTTCCAAACAATGCTAAAATGCTGTTGTTCCCACTGAGCAACGTGTCCAAGGAAAGGTCTTCCGGAAAGAGACTATAAATAGCAGAGCCTTTCAGTTTCTGAAAACTCATTTCCATTAACCAAAACCATGCACTGAGGAAGGGATGTTATCTGGAGCTCTGGGTAGCAATGCTGTGCTGATTTTAATAAAAAAGAGGGGAAAAAAGAAAATACTGTGACAGTGCAAGTTACTTTTCATCCATATTAGTAAAAATGTGTATGTGACAGGGTGCTGAGCACCTTTAGGACAGTGAGAGTCAAGATATTTTGTGTTTTACAGGATCATTTTGATCTGGAAGGGGCCAGGCATGCAAACCTTGAGAACAAACATGATCCGGTTATCAAGTCTCATTATAAATTAATGTTTGCATTTAAAAAATACCTCTAAGCTTGCTCTTCAGCACGTCTGCGGCATCTTCCTTTCTTCCTTTATAACAGAGCCCTTCATGTCCACGTCTCTCTGTTTGGCAGAAAAAACGCCGTTAGCGAGTAAGAGCTGGGACTCCTGCAGCTTCCCCTCTGCGGATGCTCTTTGCAGTAGGTCACCGCACTGTCACGCTGCCCTAATATATGAGCGTTTACACCTGCTAGGAAAAGCAAGTCCACCATCCCCCTGATGCGGCCCCAAGCAGTTGCATTCAGTCTTTTTATCATAGAAATAAAAATGACAATGACAGCAGAAAATGGCCGCTCTCTCTGGAGCTGGGCTAAGCTCTCCACTTCAAAGGTACTTTTGTAGCATCCCTGGAGTCTCCAATAAAGGACGCCTGCTCTGAGAGGCTGGCATCTCTCCTGGAGAGCTGGGGAGCGTGTGTCTTCAGGGGCAATATTTACAGCGTTAAAGGGCTCCGGGGAAATGGGAGCAAGAGTTACAGCTTATTTCTTTTCCTTTTATTTCCATAACTGCACAGGCATGTTTGCCTCTGGTTGCTGTTTCGGGTCACTGGAGTGGATTTTGGAGCTCTGGGTGTGATTGCCAGGCGTGCTGAGAGCCCGAGACGTGCTCGGTTTGTGTGCCTCCTCTCCGAAGCTTTCTCTTTGAGATGCACTGTGACTTGGGGTGGGAATTCCTGACTCCCACTTAAAGTACTCCCCGCTTTCTATGCAAGTGATCTTGTTTCTGCCGTGAAATTGAGTATCCCCTGCCCTAGCCTTGCACTTCCAAAGTAACAGTGTTTAAACCATCATTTATTAGGTCCCTTAGACTTATTGGCATTTGGCTGATAGGGAAGAAATGCAGAGGTGTTTGGTGCTGGAACCACCTCTGATTTGTGGGACTTGCTGTGAAGATAAGGGCTGGCAGGCAGGGCTTGCTGCCCTCCCTCCCTGAGATGGTGAACTCGAGTTCAGTGGTGCGTGTGCCTATGCGGTTATTTCTTTGGTTTGTGTAATTTTTTGTCCCCTGAACAGAACCCTCAGGATTCTGCTTTTTGTGCTGGTTTGCATGGGGCAGTTGACTGTTATTAAAACCTTCCCTGCGTCTGCTTGCTCTGTCGTAGGCTCTGGTTGCCTCCCTGGCAGAGGCAGGGCAGCAGCCAGTGTTCAAGAAGCTGCTGAGCGAAGTGAAGGATGCTCAGACCCTGGATGCTCAGACCCTTGTGTCTTTACTGAAGCTGTTTCAAGATGTGAATCCCGAGCTGAGAGCGGCTTTGCTGGAAAGGGAAGGAGGCAGCGGAGAAGCCCTGCAGCAAGCAGGTACAGATGTAGGTGCAGCCTCTGGCAAAGTGAGTGGGCAACTTTATGGGCAAAGCAGGTCTCCAAAACCCTGCATCCTTACTGGGATGCATCCTTACTTGGATGCAAGTGCTGGCCAAGATCCCAGGGTGTTTCTGTCCTGCAGCAGTGGGGTGCAGGCAGCGCAGGGCTCTCCCCATCGCTGCCTGGAGGGCTGGATCGATGGCTGCGCAGCCAGCATGGGTCAGAGCACAGCTGAGCCTCAGGATTGAAAGCTCCTTTCTTACTCGAGTCTGACACAAAGCAGTGGCCTTGCAAACCTGGTGTTAACCTCCAGCTTGCTTCATGGCTTTGTGCTCTGTTAGATAAATGAGTCGTTTTCCTTTCATAGAGTTTAAAGAGAATAGTAAAGTGGTTTTCCTCTGCTGCTTGTGCTTGGGATGAGCTTTGCTATTCACTTAGATCTTTCACAGAGTCTCACTCGCTTCAGGAGCCTGTCAGTTCCTTCAGACTGACTTGTTTCTTCTCTTGTGTTTCTGAATCCTTTTCCCCCCAGAGAGCACAGACGAGGGAGAGACGCTGACCGCTTGCTTGCTGGGGCGCAGGGAGGAGCTGATCCAGAGTGTGACACAGCTGAGCCCTATCGTAGAGTTCCTGGAGGCAGCAGAAGAAGGATTCCTGACTGCCTCGGAGAAGCGGGTAAAAAAAAATCTGAGATAAGGAGACCGCTGTGGGCGAGGGGCAGGTGTGTGTCTGTCTGCACTGCTGTACCACATGGTTTGTCAAGTGATGTGCTTGCCTCACCTGGCAATTTCACCTCCCCTTTGCACAGCATGGGCTGCTCTTGTGTGTTGTCTTGGGTCCTGCAGCACTGAACTGTGCATGCAACTGGGAATACTGAAATCTGGGCTCTGAAAAACAGCCTCAGGACTAGAGTGAACTGGGGCAGAGGAGGTGCCTGATATTCCTTGTAGGCCCTGAAAATGCCTTTTTGGGAGCCCAGAGAAGGCTCTGTAGTGGAGCTTGGTTTCAGCAGAACCACTGATACCTCTGTACTGCCTGCTTGCCAGTTACTACCTTATGTACGTGGCCATCAGCTTGCCTTCCAGCTGACTCTCCCAGCTTTAATTCTTTTCTTTAACTCTTATCACACAGTTGCCTGCAGGAGTAGCACATCCACTGTCTGATTTTATTTTTCTTTTTGATATGTTGAATACAGCTGTTGGTGGGAAGGACTGTTGCTTTCCTGTAAGCAATTGCGTTATGTATGCTGATTTGCAGAAGCCATAATGAACAGAATATTGTGTACAACCTGCTTTTTTGTGTGTTTTGGGGGGAGCTGGCTTTACGCTGCCCGTGCAGCTGAAACTTGTAGGGTGCCCTAGCATGCTGTGTTTGGTACACAGCTTGCAGACCTCCTGTCCTAGTTTGTCACATCAGTTAGTTCCCCTGATGCAGGATTGTAGCAAGTGGAAAGCACTGTCGTGCTCAGTGGCATGAACCATGTCTGCTTTCTGTCTGAGTGAGCCTGACCAGAGCCACGACGGGTGGGCTGAGAACCTCTGCTCATCTTGTGCGTCCCTCAGTTACTGTCTTGCTCACTGGCACGTAGTCCCTGACCAAGTGCCTGTTGTGGAGTGCCTCTGGGTATGGGTGCAGCAGGGCCAGAGGAGGTGCTGCCAACAGAGGTGCCCACCTTATCCTCGTGGGCTGGGGTGTGACTGGCAGCTGATGAAATTTCCCCTCTGAAAGCAGCATGGCTGAGCCTGCAATGAGGATGTAAGAGGAGAAGGCAAAGCGTGAACGCAGCAGAGGACTCAGCATCTGCTGGGGATATTGCTGCTCTCTGCAAGGGGTTGCCTGCAGCTGAGCTCCTAGCCGTGAAAGCTGCATCAGCAGTGGGGGGATTAGGGTTTTTCATAGATGCCTGTTCATGTTGCAGCATGGCCTTTCTTTAAAAGGCTGCACCTTTTCCTGGCGCTGTTCTTTTTGCCTTCATGCAGTTAAGTAGTTAAAATCCAGCCATTTTTCATCTCTCTTCCCACTGGCAAAAAAAACAACAACAAAAAACCCACCAAAAAAACCCCCCAAAAACCAAAAACAAAACAAAAAACCCAACAAACCCAACAATAAACTAAAACCTTTCTGCCATCGTAATTCTGCTCCTTGGACACAGGATCCAGCCTTTAATTGCATCACCATCTACTATGGGGCTCCTGCCTCATTTGGTGAAGGGGTAGTGTTATTCAGTATTTTTTTTTCTAATCCTTTTCAGTCACTGTATGCTCTATTTGCTGCAGGGTCTTCAAACCCTGCTTTGAATACAGAATCTGCTTCTCTTTGGGATTCCCCCGTACTTTAGTTTTAGCCCAGAGGTTCCCAGCAAGTAACAAATGTATTTGGGGAGCACCCTGGCAAGGCTGAGTGTGTTGTCCTTTCCCTGCTGTGACACAGGAAAATAGGGCAGAAATTGCCAAGTGTAGGCTGACCTTGAGCAGGGTGTGGGTGTCCCCATTTTTTCAGGCTTGGTTTATTTGTTTTGTTTTGTTTTGTTTGTTTGTTTCGATTTTTTTTTTTCTTCCCAGACAAGTGAAAAAGTGGTTAATTGTTTCAGAAGTTCAGTTGATTAAAACGGTGGGCCTGTGGCATGTGTGCGGTTGGGATCTCTGGTGTCTCAGGTGCAGCACTGGGAAAACAAAGATGGAATTAGCAGCCACCTCAGAAGGTTTTGTCTTACCTGATTCATCCTGCATTGCATGGGAGCTCTGGGCTGGCAGAGATAGGATCTAGTTCTCCAAGGGCTCATAAAGATGAGGCTTTCCTTTTTTCTTGCAGTCACTGCTTCATTAGCTACACATTTATTCAGTAGGAGAGATGCAAGTTTTACGTGTAACAGCCTTTTTTCTGGGCAACTGGGTTCTTTTTGTGCCTGGTCCAAGCTGTGTATGGAACAAGTCTGTTTTACTTTGCTCAAAAGCCACTACATGATGTGTTGTAAAGCCCCTTTGTAAATCCCTGGTTTTCTGGAGAACTTTTTACCTGGCATTTCTATTTTGAGTGCTTAACTTTATGGCTTTATTAGTGTCTGTAATGTGGGGAGGTAGGTCGGATGATCTGAGGGGTGACTTGGATGCAGATTATCACTTGAAAAACATAAACATGGATACAAAGGAGGAGCAGGTAACCTCATGAATGGTGTCTCATGGCTTAGGGCATCGCAGAGTTCAGAGCGACCTGTCCATGGTACAGCCCTGAACCTGGAGCATCAGAGTAGCTGCTAAAACCCTCATCCTTTCCTTCTGCCCAGGCCCTCTTCTAGTGGGAACTTTCCCTCCCCTTTGCCTCCAGTGCCTACACGGGTTGATGCTCCCACCACACTGCTTCAGAGCTAAGACAGGTGACAGTGACAACAAAAGCAAGGTTACTGGCCATGGCAGGAGCAATTCTAACTGGATATGCTGGGGGATGGAGAAGTCTTGCTTGCAATGGGATGTTTTCCAGTTGTGCCACCTGCGTATTGTCAAAATGGGGCTCTAACTTCTGTGCCTGGCAACACCTGCCTGGGAACATCAGTAGGTTAAAGCGGGAGCACCCCCAAAAATGCTGCTCTTGTGCCCCTTTTTGTGTTCTCTTATAAGGTGACTTCAGTTTGAGCGATTCAGAGTCAACTCAGTGTGAATTAGATGGGAGGATATGCCAACAGGCTCACTAACAGAGTTTTGGCTATAAAAGAACAGATTTTTAGAAAAGAGAAACTAATTAATGAGATCAGCCACTCATAAGAGCACAGGAGGAGCTGTTGGATTAATTTCTTTTATGTTAAAGGTAGGAGAAGTGTCTGAAGTTTGCATCCTCAACAAGAGAAGAGGATTTGTGGGAGAGGTTACAGACCTGAGTGAATGAATAACTTAGGGAAGAGTATTAGGACCTGCAAGAAATGGCTGAAATGTCCGACAGGCAAAGAAATGTACTTTAGTGGTAAGAAGAGAGTCTTGCGGGCATCACAGCCTATATTGAGACAACTGACAAGCGTCTGTCTGATCAAGTAAAGAAAAAGAATAATGAGAAGAGGTTTATTACTGTGTTTTCTGGGTTGAGAGTGGTTCCTACAATTGATGACCAGAACAGATGTGTGGGAAAGGGAAGTGGTGATCCAGGCAGCCAGCTCTGTGGGTGCACAGGGACATGTGTTGGGTCATGTAGCTGAAGCACAGTGTGTAAGAAAAAAAAAATAAATAAGGGGGGGGGGGGGGGGGAGAGATAAAAAGCAGCAAAAGGTGCTCAAGTAAATTGTTTCTGCCTGACCTGGAGTCTTTATTTGATGAGGAAAAAATGGGTTTTTCTGCCTCAATCTAGACTTGAGCAAAGCATTTGAATTTCATGCGAGGGAAATTGTTAAACTAGAGGAAGCAGTGATATTAAAAAAGGATGGATCTTATTGGGAGCTAACTGCAGGTTGTGCTGAAGGCAGGACTGATGGGTTGGAGCAGGGTTACCAGTGACATTCTTGGCATTTACTTAATATTGGCACCGATGTTATTGACACACAAATACCGAAGCATATTTAGCAAAACTTGCTGATGAGCAAAACCAAGACCTTTTATCCACACAGAGAATCTGCAAGAGAGAGAAGAATTACGTAGCTGGAGAGCTAAGTAGTGAGAATCGAATGATGTGATAGTATAAAGTGAAGGGCATGCTTTTAGATGTAGTAACGAGAACTAAGAATTAAGAATTCCTCATCTGCAGTTTCTGTGTGCAGTTCCAGTCTTCTTCAAAAAAGGTGAATTCATATTGAGGCAGAGACAGATCTGCAGCCATAAGATGAGGGGAGGGAAGAAGCTGTTTTACAAGAATGGTGACTTATTTAGACAAGTGAAATGAAGACTGAGAGGGAATATGATCGTGCTCTTACAGAAAAGATTGGAGAAGAAGGGCAGGGTAAGCACCTCAGAGAGTTTAGAAGGCTTTTTAAGCTAGAAGATAATGTTGGCACATGAACAAATGGGTATACGCTGGCCATGAATAAATTTAAGCTGAAAATTAGAAGAATCAACAGGGGAATGAGACTGTGGAAGAGCTTTCCAACCAGGGGAAAGGGAGCAAAAATGTAACTAGTTTTAGGACAGATCTTAATAATTTTATTAATGGGACTGTGTAGTGCAGTGCTCCTGACAGCAGGGAACTGGGCTGGTGCCCTGCAGAGTTTCAGCCAGTCCCACATTTCAGATGCTGAGGAGCACGGTGTTTGCAGAGAGGAGGTCAACCTGCATTTGTCAACTGGCTTTCCCTTGTAGGAGCCTTGTAGGTATTATACTGCGATACTAGAGCTTTTTCAAGCTGCAGTGATTGCATCTCACATAAGAGATGTCTCATGTGGCCTCGTCATAGAAATAATCATTCAATTAATAGGATGCTTATTTAAATAATGAGAGTCTTTTTTCTCTCCACCCCTGCCTTTCCATGACAAGCAGAAAAATTAAGGAGACAAGGGAAAAGAGACTGCCAATTTAAAAAGTATTTGCTAAAAATATTAAATTAAATGTTATTTTGAATCCTGTCTTTAAATCTTTTCCTTGTTCCCTTTGAAAAAAATGTTTTTTTTCTTGTCAGCCACTTTCAAGAGCTAGACTTGGTGGAAGAACCCACCAGGGTAGTTTTCAAGGTGACACATGTCAGATATACCTGGGAAGTGTTTAGATGTTCCTGTAACTAGCAGTCTGTAACATCTCCCAGCTAATCTAATTAGTGGAAGCAGTGAATGTGGATTTATTGCAGTACTGTGCCCTGTGATACTCTTACTGTTTCTCTGATCTCTGTTTACATCCAGGAGTTTGCAGGAAGCTCTCACAAACAGGTTCTTGGCTGCTGCTTTGTTGCAGGTGGTTTTGGATTGCTGTGAAGGTGGCTCTCAGAGGGCAGCCATGGACAATCTGCTGAGGAAGGTGGATGAAGAGAAGACCCTGAAAGCAGAAAGTTTGGTCAAACTTCTGGGGGCTGTGAAAGCGTCATTCCCTGGTCTCCACCATCTGCTAGACAGCTTGAGGACAACAGCAAACATGTCTGATGGTAAAGGTATGGTGCACTAAACTTCGGAGCCTGGGGGCTTGGTTCAGGGAATTGCTGGGAAGTTTGGATGCTTGTCTGGTCCTCAGCGTGCTCTTATAATTGTACTTTCATGTAAGGGAATGAGATGGCCACTTAATGCAAACAAAAATGATCTGGGAGCATCGGAGTAAGAGAACTATGCCAGCAAGAAGGCCTCTGCTTTGCAATGAAACGAGCAGCGTTGGGCTCCTTCCTTGAGTTTGACACTGATAGGGTGGAAACTAGGATGTCATATCTGAAAAACAGGAGAACATTTCCCTCCATTGTCAAAATACTTTTTGGTTTTCAGTTGCTTAAAAGCAGCAGCATGTGTCTCCATAATAAATAGAACAATTTTCATGTAATAAATGCTTGGTAGGTGAAGACATCTGTAACACCTGTGGTCTATAGGTGACTTATCTCATGGTACTTGCTGGCTTTGAAAGCAAATACCTAAAACTTCCCCAGTGTTGTAGATGTCTTGACATTAAATACAGGCAATGTCTCACCTGACCGCTGTCTTTGTGAATTCCTTGTGGCTGAGGGATTGTAGGAAAAGGTCGTTGGGCTGTACTTCTCTCCTAAATCCAGGTAGGGTTTCTGCAAATTGTGGTCATGGACTTGAGGTCTTCTGTGTGGAGCAGAGTGTGCTGATGGGAGTCCCACACCATTAGACATCCTTATCTTGGTCAGCTGGTCTTCTCTTTGTTTTAGTGGGGGTATATTGTTTATTGCCTGCCTGTGGTGATTCAGGGACTTGTGAGCCCTCATCTTTTGGCTAGTGGGACAGCCTTCCACATTTGATTGGGTTTAGGCACACCCCTGAGCAGTTCAGATAGAGAGGCAAATTTCACCAGCTCTCAAGTCACTTAAAAATTAAAAACTAAACTAACATGCAGTGAAATGTAAATGAGTGTTTAATAGAAAGCAAAACTGTGCTCATAATGTTGATAATTTCCTCTGTAGCAAACATTCCCGACAGGCAGCTTGCTTTGTCATTTGTTAAGCACGATTGCTTTCTTGAAACGCCAGACTCCCAACATGGTTAATTATCTAGTGGTAATACCCATTCCAAGGAGGAGCATTTCTTAATTACACAGAGCTGAATCTCCTCAAATTGCAGCCTGAACAAACAGAAGCACAAATATTTCTTACTGTGGAAATGAAGAAAGGGAATGATCTGAGCCACTGATGGCAGCCTTTGGTGTCCCGTGCTGTCCTGCTAACAACAGAAGGAGGACGTCTTGCACGGTGATGCAGGGCATGCTCTGGTTATGGAGCTCACCTTAGTATGGCAGCAGAGCAGAGCTGAGAGCACATTTATTACAACCCAAATTTGTGTCATAAAATCAGAAACATTCTGATGGGAGAAGAGGGAAAATATTTTTAATTTGTAAACCATCCACTGATCCATGTGGAGCACATCCAAATCGTAGCTAAACCCTATGGAGCTCAAGTGCTTTGTGAGGTTCCCTTAGCTTTGGGCAGTAGATTCATGTCTCCAAGAAGCCTTTGTCCAGGGAGTTTTTCATATTAGCTCAAAATCTTCCATTGATTATTCCTATTGCCTGCCATTGCCTCCTTCTCCATCCTGGAGATCTTCTTCCTCTTGCCCAGCACTGTATGTCTTCTGGGTCCCAGAGACTGTATTTTCTTTTAACTAAGCTGCATATTTAGCTGCTTTTCTCCCCAGTAGTGCTGTGCGAATAATAGATTGTCCTGTTTCGTACTGATCCAAAATGATTAAAAGCTATAAGTACACACAAAAAAGCCCAAACCCACGCACAGATGTCTTGGATGAACTGTAGTTTTGTGTTTTGATTTCTCCTACAAAAATAATAATTTACTAACTCCAGCAGTGAAAAAAAATCCTTTTTAGATTCATCTGTTTCACAATTTCCAGCTTTATTTATCAACTAATCTGCTGACACGTACAATCATACACTGCTTTTGGTACACAATATATTTTGCCTAAGTCTCTTCCTTATCCTGTGTAAACACTGTTCCTCTTTCTTGAATTAGTCCATTGTGTCTTATACTGGGGTGCCTTTAAAGGATTGTGGTGTTACTCGAGAGTCATCGTTTCTCAGATTCATCAGGGCAAACCTCAGCAGACCCAGCTTGGAGTTAGATATGGGAGGAGGAAGGAATAAAGTTAAGGTTGCACTTTTTTAGTGTAAGGAAGAGAAGAGGATATTACTGCTGCTTTGCAATTGCAAGTCTAGTTTGTGTTCCGTTAACATTTTCACCAAGGACAACTCAGGGTTGTCCTGCTAAGTTCATGATTACCTTGGACCATCTGGGTGTTTGTAAAATGTCAGCGTGTTTGATAGTCGTACACCACTGAGACAGAGCATGTTACAGAGTTCTTTCTCGGTGGAGTGGAACGGAGATGCTCACTTCCAGACCTCTTGCAATGAAACTACAATGAGGAGTCTGTAATGGAGTCTCCTTGATAACAGGGTGTCAGAAGAGGCTGATGAACATCTCGAGGTGGTGTTTTCTCGGAGAAGGCCATCGGTTTACCTGAGACGGAGATTTTCTTCTGGGCTCAGACCAGGACTGAGACTCAGAAGGCATTTGGGTGCCAGAGATCTATTTCTGTAGACACATATGGACAGGTGATATTCTGTCTTGTCTTTGATTTGGGGAAGTTTGGATTTGTCATGTTCATCCTCAGCTTGAAGGTGAATGCTGGTGTCCTGAGTGTAAAGCACAGAGCATTATTGACCCTGGAAGAACTGGCTGCCTTGGAGTTTTTGGTCTCCTTTGGCTCTGAAGCCATTTGGGCTGCAAGATGCTGCAAGCTGAGCTGTTTTTATTTTCATTCACTTGCATTCAGCCAAATGGAGGCCAGAAGATTACGGAACCAAACTGTTGACACAATACAGAGAAGACCTAGTGGAGGTCCTCAGGGACACACAGATGCTGCTGCAGGGCATCTCTGCTGCACAGACCCTGGCTCCTGCTGAGAGAGCGGTAAGGAGAATTCTGTGTGTGTGCGAGCACATGCTGAGCTTTTATCCCCACCCTAGATCCCTATCAACTTGGATGTGGCTTTGAGCAGCCTGGTCAGGTGGGAGGTGTCCCTGCCTGTGGCAGGGTGGTTGGACTGGATGAGCTTTAGGGTCCCTTCCAACGCAAACCATTCTGTGATTTACTCCCTGTCATGGCTTGGTTTGGGGCAGTCCTCCAGCAGGACTTGGTTTGATGATTCCTTAGGATCCCATGGCAGCAGTGAAGCAGGTAATGTATATGAAGCTGAAAGCTGGCAAATAAGAGTAGCTGATCTGGGGGCTTTGGGGTGACTCAAGGAAACGGTTGATGTGTTTGGGTGAAAGGCTGGACTTCAAAGCGGTCACTACTTCGGTTGTACCATGAGCTGGGTTCTCAGCAGGGTGGGATCAAGGGAAGGCTGGGTCTGAGGTGAGCCAAGGTCATGGCTAAGTGTGATGCAGGGCAGATGGAGGGGGTCTCTCATTAGCACCTTGCTGTGGGTCTTTCCAAGGTGATGGAGCAGGTTGTGAAGTGTGAAGCTGGTGGTTTTGCCTCCCTGGTGTCAGCGGCGCTGGAGGAGCGGTCTCTGTCGGTCTCTGCCGTTTGGCAGCTGCTGCTGGCTGTGCAGGAACCTGCACCGCTGAGCGTGCTCATGGAGGAGATCCGGAAACAACCCGGCGCAGAGTTTTTCTTCCAAGCAGGTAACAGCCTTGGTGTCCCCCCATGCTCTTCCTGAGCTTTTCCTGCTGCTGGCAGGAGCTGCTTCTGACTCCTTGCCCTCTCCCTGGTTGGGAGCCTCTTCTCTTCCAATGAGTCTCTCAGCACTCGAGTCCTCAGTGAAACAGTTGATTGGTTGGAAAAGCACTTCTGTCCACAAGCGCAGCTGCTCTGCTTGTGGCTCTATGCCTTCAGATTCTGTAATGAGCAAACCTTTTGAGAGCTGGCCACCATCCTGCACTAATAACCAGCTGGAGACCCATCAGACTGAAAACAGAGGTTTCATTTCATAAATCTGTGCACAGCTGCCACCCTGTCCTCCCCAGAGCCTCAGCCTCTGGCTTTGAGTTTTGCTATTTAACCTGTCCTTTTCCCCAGAAATCATCTAAAATCTCATGCAAGTGTGAGGAGCGCTCAGGTTGGTGGTCTGGTAGGGCAGGAGATGGAGGCTGTGCAGAGCCTGGCTCTGGGTGCTGGCCCTGTGGGCAACAAAGCTGGAGTTCACCTGCCCACAGTCAGGTGCCTGGGGTGGACAAGCAGTGAGAAGTGAGGTCTGCTGGGGTTTGATGCTGGCTGTCAGTGCTGCAGTTGGTATAACCAAAGCTTGCCTGTGCTTGCTCACTGTTTCCTAGGCCCTAAAGGAGTCACTCCTGCTGTTAACAGCTCAGCTTCAGGAGTGGGGCTGGACAAAGCTAAGCGAAGCTAAGGCCTTCAGGTTCTCTTTAAAGGGGTTTTGTGCTTTTAAATACATTTGATTTTCATTTTCAGTGGCCACCAGCGAGAGCACAGCCATTGAGATCATCCTGCGGCACAGTAAGCTGATCTCGGAGGCCATCCAGCAGAGAGCGGACCTGGAGGGCTTGGCTCCAGGGGAGGCAGGGCTCACAGAAGCAGTAAAAGAGGTATGAGGGGATCCTTTCACAGCCGGCATGGTTCAGGGCTCTAAGGGTGGACAGGATCTAGTGTGCACTGAAATCAAGGGACATTACTTATGTTGGGGAAACGATCCAAAGCTGGAGGTACCCCTCTGCTGAAGTGAGAGTGTGTTTTGTGTTTTATATAAATTCTGCAAGAATTTTTAGGTAAAAGAGAGTAAAATCCAGTGAGATTCTCAGTTGGTGAAAATGTGACTCTTCAAACATGGGAAAACTGATTCAGCCCTGCAAGGGTGCTGAAGTCCTAGAGCAAGCAGAGCTGCCAGGGGGTGGGTTTCCATTTGAGTTGGCTGTTCCAGGACACACAAGAATGAAACACTCCTAGAAGATGCAGTGAGGGTGCTGTGATTGTGTGGCAATCCAGAGTGCCTTGCCTGTTTTCCCTTTGACAAGGAAAACGGGCTGTGTTAGTAACGAGCTGGCCTTTTCCACCAAGCAGTCTGTGGTTGCTCATTTCTGCTCTGTTTAGCTGCTGCTGGAGATCTGATATTTGAGGTATGTATGGGCATGCAGAGACCCTTGCCTTGGTTCCTCTTGCAGTGGGGGACTGAAGCAGGTCTGGATTTGGAAGGGAGAGTGAAAAACCGAGAGAGAGGTCTGTGAGTTAGATAAGGTTGTAATACTGTAAGACATTGAGGAACTGCTCTTTCCATGGAAAGGTGGTTTTAAGTGAGCTAGTACCAAAATAGAAAGTCTGAAAATTTAATTTGTTACTTTTTTTTAATCCTGAATTTCTCTCAGCTCATGCACTTAGATCAATGGAGGGGCAAAGACCTGTATGGAAAGAGATTTCTGGTTTCTCAAAGCAGGTTCCCAGCAGTAGAGATGAAACAAAGAGAATGAGCCCTCACTCCCAGACCATCCCGACCTTTCACAGCCCAAAATCTCTGTCATGTGATGTTTTCTTCTTCTTACTTCTCCAGCTACTGAGTATTTCTGCTCAGAAGGAAAGTTCAGAGGCCTCCTTGAAAGCAGCTCTGAGCACAGCCCAGGAGAAGTCTGTCCTAGCCATGAAGATCTGTCAGCTGCTGTGCACTGTCCATGAGTCCTTCCCGGGCCTACAGCCAGTGATGCAAGAGCTGGGACATGTGGGTAAGAAAAGCACAGGCTTTCATCCTTCTGTGGTCTTTTACACACAGTTATGGAAGCCTTGGGCAGATTGGTAGTGGACCTCGGTGTCTTGGTGGCCTAAGGTCATTTCACAACCCTCAGCCAGATGTTGGGGTTGTGCTTGCAGGAGGATTGACATGGGTGACCTCTGGATCCAAGAACTGGAGCAGGCATTTCTCTTGCTGGTAAAACGCACCAGATTAAAGTTTGTGTTATGAGGGTTGCAGTGATCGTAACCAACTCCATATGGGTATTCCTTAACTGTGTTTGCATTTCTCCACCTCAACCCTTGCTCTGGAGGCATTTAAGCAACTTAGTTATGTAATTTGTGTCTATACTGGGTTATTTTTCAGAATTTTTATCCCTAACTGGTAGAGTTTCTTTGGCTCTTCCCATACTGTTGAATCTGTGTATCTGTGGACACTTCACAGGCTGATTGCTAAAAGGTCACAGCAAAGTGCACTTGCCATGTGCAAAGACGACCGTGATGGTGTATTTTGTAGTCCCAGACTAGTTTCTGAGTTTGTTTCCTCATTGTGCTTTAATTTGATCTTGCTATGTGTACACTTTACAGAGCAAACGATCCCCTGGGAGGGTCCCACAGCAGTAGGGGAATGTTACATACTGTACTAGTTTGGCAAAGGTATGAACAAAACATATGCAGATAGCACTTCGGTAAGCTCCAGAAACAAATGCATAGCAATAATCATGTGCAAGACCCTGCCCTGAACTGTGGGAAGCTTTCCAGCTGAGTCAAATTGTACTGGAAGGAAGACTGCTTAACAGAATTTGGAGCTTTAATGAAAAAGATAAGAGGGCCATGAAGCTAACTGCAGGTTTGCATTCTCTTGAAAAGGATGCAAATGTGACTTCTTTATTCTGTTTGCTCACATACATTTTTATGGCATCATGTTTCCTGGTGCATCCATATTCTTTGGGCTGCAGAGTTCACTGGGATGTGCAAAGTGTGATTTTTATCCAAGCACAGGCGCTGGTTCAGATCAATCCATCCCTATCACTCACGGTGCCAGAGCTGCTTAGCTTACAGCACAGTGTGGAAATACCAGCAGATTGCTGAGTAGTTAGAGTAAGCAGCTCGTTATTAATGTCTTGTCTTTTTTTTAGGGGTAGAAGGCTTGAAAACTTGGGTCAGGGCCACAATCAGTCTTTATGAATGAACACAAGCCTCCTGGCTCAGACACTTGTCGTTGTTTTGTGTTTGACAGTGACAGGCAAAGCTGATGTTCCCCATGTGCTCTGAAGGGGCAGGGAGCGACCCATGCTCTGTACCCCAGGTTTGTTAGCTTGTCTGTTCTTGAGCAACAGGGAAATTTGGGGTGGTAGATGGGACTGGGTGACTGGGAGCAGCATGCATCTAGAAGAAACTGAGGATCTGGATTGCCGCTGTAGCCATTGGGCTCAGAGGATGGTAGCACACGCTCTGCTCTCCTTGATTCAGTGGCCTTGGTGGTCTCCCTCAGAGATGTGCGAGACTGTAGATCCTCTGTCCATGCCTAGTTCAGATCTGGGTCATTTCTTCTAACTCCAGCAAGAGCCGCCACCAATCCAGCTGGCTTTTTCACCTGGTCATGGCTCTGATGAGGATTTCCAGAGAAAAGGCAATTCCTTCTCATCTGCTATTCCTTCTCTGGTGCTGCAGGCCCCACTCCTCTTGACCCTGTCTGACCAAGGGATGTGACTCTAGAGGAGGTAAGCCAAACAAATTTGTACGTGCCTGTGAACATGCAGCCCGCCTTAGCTCCTGGACACCTTGTAGCACTCACCAGCAAGGGACCTGGGGAGTCAGCTAGATTGCTCTGGCAGATGCCTACTTCTCTGGCACTTATATCAAAGAGAGCAGACTGCTGTTACTAAATGCCTTTGCAGGGCTTCAAGCCAAGGTTGAGACAAAATCAAGCAAGAAGCAACATCAAAAACAAGCACCCTGAAAAAACGATATTTACTTGGCAAAAGCATATATTCTGTATAAAGTGTCCAGGGGAAGATTGTCAGTTACCAGCCCCTTCTTGGCATCCTGCAGATCTTTACACTGAATTTCCATATCTTAATTTCTAGGCCAGTCTCCTCAGCTCTGGTATCACTGCTTACCAGCACTAAATGTTGCAGGTGGCTTTGTGGATCTATAGCCATGTGGCTTTTGGCATGAGATGTGAATGATAACTGCAGGCCTCATGTTTGAGGGATGTGAGCTTCTGCTTGAAACAGAGAAGATCTTAAGTTTCTGAAGAATGCGTGCTGCATGGAGATGCATGCAATTTGCATTTCCCCTTGAAAGCAACATGTTTTACATCTCTACTAAAAAAAATAATTCTGATACTTAATTCAGGTGAGCTGAAGCATTTGGAAAGCTCTAGGCATCCCTGTGGAGGAGACTCTGTGTCCATCCCCCACCACACTCAGCATCATCAAAGTAGTGGATTGGTTTCTTTGGTGGAGGTACACTATGAAATCTGTTGGCTTCTCCCTGGTCCCTTCTGTAGTTGGAGCACTTTCACTGTTGGCAACTGCTACTTGCAAGGATGAGGTTTAGCTCTTCAAGCCAACTCCATAACCTCCTCTCTAGCCATCTGCTTTCCAGGTCTCTGCACAGTCATTTCTTGGGAGATCATGTTTGTTAAGAGATGCGTCACTTTCAAATCTCAGAAATGTGTCAAGAACTCCAGCAAAAAGGCTTTTGCTCTGCGTAGTCTTTGAGTTTAAAAAAGACAGTTACCATTTAACTTAGGCTTGAGGCAGCCCCTGGAATTGTTGAACTGTAAGGTCTGCAAGCAAAATGCCCTTTTCTCCTGAAAAGCTGCTGTGCTAGAAGCCACCATGCATGTCAGCAGCCATCAGAATGACCTTTAAGATGAACACAGGAGGTTCAACTTAAACATAAGGAAAAACTTCTTTACTATGAGGGTGACAGAGCCCTGGACCAGGCTGCTCAGAGAGGTTGTGGAGTTTCCTTCTCTGGAGACATTCAAAACCTGCCTGGACACGTTCCTCTGTGATCTTCTCCAGGTGATCCTGCTCTAGCAGGAGTTGGACTGAGTGATCTCCAGAGGGCCCTTCCAACCCCCACCATGCTGGGATTCTGAGAGTTGCTGCCCTGATGTCGCAGTGCCACGTGTCCCCTCTTCTGTTGAGGCAGCAGCCAGCCTGTGGTACCTGATGCTGTTAAAGGAACCTGTACATTCATCAACCTGACCTTACTGTCACATCAGCTTTGTGTCATGCAGTTCAGCATGTCATCCTTTCTCCCGTCTCATGGTAGCCAGACTTTGAAAGCCTTCTGAGAGTCTGTTCCATCATCAGTCGAGGTTCCTCCTCCTGTCCAAGGTGTATATATTGTACCAGCATGGTACTACAGGATGCAGGTACCCAGCGATTGATTTCATGTGATCTTCTTCAGCTTGCTTTCAGAACTGTTCCCCAGGGGTAGTAGTGTCCCCCTGAAGACAGCAGTTCCTGGGACTCCTTTATGTATTTCCCCATGAAGGTGGACTGAAATTGAGAGCTCTCGCTGCCTTTATACCACTACAGTCTTGTGCTGTTGTCTAGGCTAAAGTCTTGTAATGCTGAACAACATTTTCACAGGCATGAGAGCAGGAGGACCATGAGTGCACTGGGGTCTGTGACAAAACTCCTTTGCACTTCATGTGACTCAGGTTGCACCCCTGCTGCCATGGTACTTCTAGACATTTCCAGTCCCGATTTCCTTAGTGCCCATATCTTCATCCACATTCATCCTGTCCAGCAATGTTGACTCTCTGACATTCAACATTCCTGGGGAGTCTAAAGACTTATTCACTTGGATCAGAAAAACTGATAGTGTTGGTTTTAGGGATGTGGGAAGAGACCTTAGAGTTGAAAGGTGTGTATTGCTACCTTGATAGAGCAGGACAAACTGGAAACCAGTCTTCCAGTCTGTTTTTCTCCCTTGATGCATTCAGGGGTCAGTGGGTCACTACCTGACAACTTAAGATTTCCAAATCTGTTGAATATTCATCTCACCTGGTTTCTAGTTGGCTGGAAAACCAGGCCAGTATCACTGTGCAGAGAGGACTCTTTGCTGAGCTTTTCCCATAGCGAGAAAGGCAGAAACAAAGTTTTGCAAGCACAAGCTAAATTTCCTGTGCATTGGCAAAAGGAGAAGTCTGCACTGGTTTCCATGGCCACACAGTTGCATGGTTCTCATTATAGCAGAGAAGTCAAATATGTCTGTTTGTATTTTGATTTCTTCCATATGTGCATTCCCTGTGGGCCTTTTCTGTAGATTGAGATCCTAGGTGAATTTTCCAGCTTGTGCTTTTTGAGATGATGGTGTTACAGGGACTCAGAAAAGCATTATACTTTGTAAGAAGTGAATGTAATGAGTGATTTAAAATACCTCAGGGCCCTAACCAGAAGACTCAAAAGGGTCTTAGCAAGATTATCTGTTCCCTTTCAAAGAGTTTGCGTTTGGGGAGTGTTCCTGAGATTTCTTGTAATTAATGGCTGGATATTATCCACCATCAATGGCAGATTTAGTATTATACCTGAGGCTCAGATCTTCAAACATTTTAAGCACAAGCATAACTTCATGTGTCTGAGCAGGAGGCAGACGCTTGGAAGCAACAGTTGTTCCTGTTTGAGAAGGAAGCTCTTTGGAAAATCTGACACTGGCTGTTACCTTCTAATCCAGCCCCCTGGGTAGGTGTGGTTGGAGAAACTCAGGCACCATTCTTTCATGCATTGTGCCATGCTTGGCCACAGCTACTTCTGCGCAGAGCCATGTACCACCGCTGTGATGGGACAGCGTGTCCAATGTGTGTCTGCTTTTGCTGTGGAGAGACAACTCTCTGTGTAGGAGCATTCAGGAGATGCGAGACTGAGGGGCTGGTGGCCAGTCCTGCTGGTTACCACTGAAACAGGGATTGCTATTTCCACAGGTCTCTTGACTGAGGGAAGCAGTGACAAACCTGGGATTAGGAAGTGGAAAGTGAACAGTGAATCACAAGTTGAAGCTCTGGAAAAAGATGAGGAGAAGGCAGGAGGTGCTAGTGCCAAGGAACCAAAGGAACCCCAAGAAAAATCTTCCAAGAAGAGTTTTGTCTGCAAAGCCTGCGACAAGACCTTCCACTTCTACTGCCGCCTGAAGGTGCATGTGAAACGTTGTCGAGTGGCCAGAGGAAAGCAAATTCAGTGTAAGGAATGCAGTGAGGTCAAGTCGACAAAGAAGGAGCTGGAGAAGCATCAGCTGGAGGTCCACGGGTTGGTGGGGACGGCCAAGAAGAAGAAGAGGAGGCACCCCGTGGCGTGTGACATCTGTGGCCGAGAGTTTGCTCATGCCTCAGGTAGGGTTGGTGGGAGAAGGGGTGTTTGGACAGAATTCTGGACAATATAATAAAACGATAGTGAAATCTCCTCCTCCTCCTCCCTGCAGCTTTGTGGGAGCTGTGTGTGAGAAATGTGGCTTAGCTTATTTCTGCTGCCCCACTGAGCACAACCACTTTCTGATTAGTTCTTCCCTAATTGGTTTTCCACATGGCTCATCAAGGAGAAGTGGGGCTACTGGCAAATTTAAAAGCTTCCAAAAATAATCAAGCTGTTCCAGTTCTGTGGCAGGTTTAGCAGGACGAGTAAGTTGAGTTGAGTCTCTTTGCCTTCCCTGTGGCAGCTCACAGTATCCTGGTGGATGTCTGGGCTGCAGGGCATGGGGGAACCCCCACTGTCATGGGTGGGCTGGTGGACCTCTGGGCTAGGTGGAGTGGTGCCTCTGCAGCAGGGTCAGGCAGGGCTGGCCATAGGTCCCACCAATGCCACCCTGGTGTCCTGCCTGCCTCCCCAGGGATGCAGTACCACAAGCTGACGGAGCACTTTGACGAAAAGCCCTTCTCCTGTGAGGAGTGCGGGGCCAAGTTCGCAGCCAACTCCACGCTGAAGAACCACCTGCGGCTGCACACGGGGGACCGGCCCTTCATGTGCAAGCATTGCCTGATGACTTTCATGCAGGCTTCAGCCCTTGCTTACCACACCAAGAAGAAGCACGCTGAGGGTGAGCCTTCCTTCCATCCCCCGCTTTTTCCCCTGTTCCTCCATCTGCCTCCTGGTTGCTCCTTTGGGGGAGCCCTGGGCAGTAGGCTGCTCCCAGATCTCCTTTATCTGTGTGTTTTTTTTCTGCAGTTCCCCACTTTGCCTTTCTCCCATCCACTTCTCCAGGCCCTGTGATTAGCCACCCAGTTAGCAGTTTGCTCACTACTAAGAGGATCTTCTTCTTCCTCTTCTGTATCTTTCTCCTGAATAGCTCCTCTCTGACCCCTCTCTTTTAGACTCCTGCAATGTGTCTTCCTCCCTCCGCTTAACCTGCTTTCTCCCATCCTTCCCTGTGGCTTAATTTCACATAGTACTCATGCTAGCACTTCTCCTACCCCTAAACCCAGCCTCATCCACTACCAGGATATGAGCATATTGTAGCTGGGCAGTTAATTTTGAACATGAGACATGCCAGAAGCATGTAGTGCCTCGAGAAGCATGTAGTACCTCCAGATACTTGAAATCTGTAGAAATATAATACTCCCTGCACAGGTGCAGTTTTCTCCAGCACCTCTAGGACCTTCTTGACCCTGCGCTGTGATGCCCTGACCACCCCAGGAAAGCCTGTCCAGTTTATGATCTCTCCCCTCTCCCTCTGAAATTAGGTGTAGTCCAGGCAGAGCTCCTGTCCCAGTAGGTGCAGGCTCTTACGCTGGGTGTCACTGCAGGGAAGATGTACGCCTGCCAGTACTGCGATGCTGTGTTCGCCCAGTCCATCGAGCTGTCACGCCACGTCCGGACTCACACGGGGGACAAGCCGTATGTCTGCCGGGAGTGTGGGAAAGGCTTTCGCCAGGCCAACGGGCTCTCCATCCACCTCCGAACCTTCCACAGTGAGTGTGGCTGGGTGGCAAAAAAAGGCAAGGCACGTTTCCTGCAGGGTCATGGCAGACACATCCATGCCAGCAGAGACTTGTGTGGGTGTTACTGGTGCCTGCAGGCTGGCTGGCTGTCTTGTGGTGGGATTTTTCCCTCCCAAGAAAAGGAAGACTCTCTTTAGTGGTTTGTTGCTCTGAGTAGGGTTATTCTGAGTAGGAAACAACAGGGGTGACTTCCAGCAAACTGTGAGCTGCTGGGAGCCCAGCATGGGAAGCTGTAGGTGAGCAGGAGCAGCAACATCTCTATGCAAAGCCAGAGCTCCAGTGCTAGTTTTCGTCTGGGAAGTAACAAGTGTTTCTTTTCTTGTTCTTTCCTCCCTCTGTGAATTCCCCTCTTAATTATTTTCTTTTTCCCCCCTAATTTCTTCACCCCCTGTGGTTTTTATTGTGTCTCTGGGTCACAGACATCGAAGATCCCTATGACTGCAAGAAATGCCGGATGAGCTTTGCCACGCTGCAGGAGCACCGCAAGCACATCCACGAAGCCCACTCCCGGGAGTACCACCCCTGCCCTACCTGCTCCAAAGTCTTCAGCGCCCCGTCCGTCCTGGAGCGACACATGGTGACCCATGTCGGAGGAAAGCCCTTTAGCTGTGAGATCTGTGACAAAGCTTACCAGGTGAGCTGGTGCTGCAAGAATTTGGTCTCATGTGCTGGAGGTTGCCATTGCCTGCTCCTGCACCAAGATGTCTCTCCTGGCCATGAGTGCTGAGGGCGAGAGTTTGGGGTCAATAGAGGAGGCAGAGTCCATAGGGAAAAGGCTGGTCCATGGAGAGAGATGGGCTGTAACTGAAAAGGGCTGCATACCTGCTGATTTGGAACCTCGGGAATCTCTTTCACCCAAGTTTCTAGCTGCCAGGAAGTGTAGGAATAAAAATACTCATGTTGCAAATGGCATGCCTCAGTGGGAGCTTGTGTGGGAGCACACACTTTGTTCCTACAAAGGAACAGAAATTCACACCAAAAGGAGACCTGCAGTGCTTGAGATAAGGATGAGGGATTCACAGTGTTCGGCTCTTCAGGGGCAATGGAGAAACAGAAGTGAGGTGTTAGCTGTTGTCCCGTGCCAGGATGAGCAGGTCTTGTACCTGCTGAGCACAACCCCACTGTTCCTGTTGCTTTCCACACAGTTTCTTGCTGTCATGATGTCCCTGGAACAACTTTGTTTTGTAACCATGATTTGATCCTTATCATTGCAGCAGTTGTCAGGGTTATGGTATCACAACCGGACCCACCACCCTGATGTCTTTGCAGCTCAGAATCACCGCTCCTCCAAGTTCTCCTCCCTGCAGTGCAGCTCCTGTGACAAAACCTTCTCCAGCACTGCTGCTCACCGAAAGCACGTCAAGGCAGAGCACGCAGGTAACGGCCCATTCATTAGCGAACAAAAACGTGTCTTCTGGGAGAGATGTAGTAATAACTCTGATAGGACAAGGTTGCACATCCCATTTACCTGCAAATCACAATAGATTATTCGTATCCTGTAGCTATCTCTTCTGGCAAGTCTCTTCTCTGTGTCTTGCACCTCACTTGCTCCTGGCCTCTCCTTTTCTTGCCTTATCTCCAAAGATGCCCCTCGTGTCTGTATGCATCTGTGATGTTGCTGAAATACTAACAAGGAATGTGCAGAAGGTCTCTTGTAGAAGATCTTGGGTGCACACTGTTCTGTTCTTGGCCTTGTTTGCAGATGTGAAGTTCCATGAGTGTGAAACATGCAAGGAGCTCTTCCCCACGCTGGCTCTCCTGCAGGTCCACATGAAGTGCAGGCACTCAGGTCTGTTACATTTGCTGTTCATGTTAACTTGTGAGCAATAACTGCTCTCAGTGATGTCTAAGTTGTAAGTGGGAGAGTGAAGATGGACATGGTAAGGAAGTAGAGTGTGAGGAAACAATATATGGATGAACTGGAAAAGCACTTGGTTTAGTGAGACTGGGACATGCTTGTTAAGCTCCTGGAACCACTGAAGTCAAGGAGGGGTCTAGATTTACTTGTAGCAGCAGAGAAGAGAGCTTAAGTGCAGTTGAGGAGACATCAGCACAGAGAAACGAGGATTTGAACCCTAAGCATTGGGGTTTGTGGAGGACAGAGCTAGTGGGAGACTGGAATAAAAGGGAGTTTAGCACCAGAAAGATCAGAGAGGGTCCTGGGCTTGGGGAGATCACACCAAGGGGTTTTTGGCAGATGGGCAAACTGAAGCAAGGCTATGAGGGCAGAGTGAACTGGCAGACAAGACTACTATGAACAGTGAGTCCCCAGGGCTGTGCAGAGGATAGCAGGAAAGGATATGGATTAGGAGACAATGGAGGGGACAGTCAACAGGAGCCTGGAGAGTGAGGAAGGAGAAGACCTAGACAGCTCTGTCTGAGAGGAGCCAGCCCTTGGGGTGGATAAGGGGTTTGCGATAGCTGAATTGGGAGGTGCAAGCCGGGCCAGCAAGCAGCAATGCTGGATGGTGCAAGGGAACAGGGAGATGTTGGCGAGAAGGGACAGCCGCAGCTACAGTCGGATCCACCAGCTTGATTTCTGAATGTCAGTGCTGCAGGGAGCTGGAGCTAAAATGGACCTGAACAGCCATTGTTTGACAGACAGTGGTATATCCAGCAGAAGGGACTCTGGCACACACTGCCCTGAGTCCCTGCTGGGTTTCAGCCCTGTGTGTCCTGGCCATGTGCAGCTCCCTGTGCCCTGGGACTGGTCCTGGCTGTGGCAGCCCAGACTCAAGGCAATGTTTTGTCCCTGCAGGCTCCCAGCCATTTTGCTGCTTGTACTGCTCAGCATCCTTCTGCTTCCCTGGGGCCCTGCAGAACCACGTCACCAGTGAGCACTTCAAGCAGACAGAGAGCACCTTCCCCTGCAAGCTCTGCGGGGAGCTCTTCCCCTCCCAGGGTGAGCTGGAGGGGCACTACCGTGCTGAGCACCCGAAAGTGGTCTTCTCCCAGGCCACCACAGCCCAGATTGTGCAGGTAAAGCCTGTTCTGTGCCACACCCCTCGTGTTCATCCATCCTCCCCTGCAAACCCTCTTACTCTTCCCAAATCCACCCTATGGCTCCTGCCTCCCTTTCTGCTCCCTGCTTCCCCCTCCTTAGAGGGGTCCAGGATGCAAGTCCCCAGCCCGCAGTGCTCTGAGGTTTCTGTGCCAGTGCTTGGTGGGCTTGCTGGAGGAGAAACAGCTCAGTCCTGGTTTTCAGGAGCTGAGGGGGAAGGTCTGACAGTGTTGCAGAGGTGCCTGGTTACTCAGAGGCTATTAAAACCCAGATGACATAGCCTGAGGCTATTTTATTTGAGGCCAAATGCTAGGCTTGAACCCAGACTTTCTCTTCAGTATCTCAGCCATCAGTGGAGAGCAGCTCCTTGGATGTGTGAGCCAAGTGTGCAAGATTCCCTGGGCTAGCATTCCTCCAGTGGATAATCACAGAGCGTTTATTGTCTACAACTGCTTGTGGAGCTAAATTATAGCAATTTTATGGAAAGAAATATTTAAATTACTCTCCTGTCTTCTCTTTTGCATCATTGGTGTGTGTGGTTTGGCGTTTCCCATTAGTCTCACGCCTATTGTAATTGCAGACCTCTGGTGTGAAGCTAAATGTTATTACCAGAGCTGTGGCTGGGAAGGATGTGGGTAGCAAAGTGATTGAGGGGAAAGCGGTGCTGCAAGCGTCTGACTCCGGTCATCTTCCACACAGGTGATCCAGACGTCGGAGCAAGGAGCAGCAGAGCACATCATCTCTTTTGATGAGGCCCAACTCGCTGGCTCCCAAGTCTTTGTGACATTGCCTGAATCCCAGCTGAGCCAAGCTGGCTCTGAGCTGGTGGCAGTGGCCATGGAGGACTTGTTCGATGATAAAGTCACTCTGATTTGTGAAGAAACCTAGTAAGAGTGAGCAGCGGGTGCCCATGCATAAACTCGTTCAGGAGCTGCTCCAGCAGGGAGACCGAGGGTTTCTTTGGGAAAGCAGCCCTGGGTATGTGACACTGCAGAAGAGATGGCATGCAGCAAGCAGAGCATGGCCAAGGACAGGAGAGGTTTGTAGGCACTCACAAGGGCCTGGGAAGCCCCCCTTCAGTCAGCAGCTGCCAGTTCAGGTGAGCTGGACCACTTATCCCTCTCGGCTTGAGAGAAATAAAGCAGCAGAGGAAAAAAATGAGAATTGAGTGTGGTCATGTGTGTTCCTCCACTGGTGCGGACAGAGCTGAGAGGAGGAGACTAGTGCAGGACAAAGCTGGGCTGGTATGGGTATGTGAAAGCAAAGAGAAAGCTGTCCTGAGAATTCAGGGCGGAGATTTTTATGGCTGAATCAGTGATATGCTCGCAGGTATCTGCTACTCTTCAGGGTAGGAGCTGCTTTGCTGCTTCTGTCGCTCTCCCATACTGTTGTGCTACCTGTTGTGCCAGCTAGAAAAGTCCTCCAGTGCAGAGCTGACATTTGGTGCTCTCTGGTCCGACAGACTTGTTGGGAGTTGTGCTAAAAGGCTTCAGAGCTGTTTAGGTAATACCTCATGTAGCATAGGTCTGATCCCATCTGTCTTTTAGCTGCAACTGTCCATTACAAAGAAGGGTCACAAGCAGATTGGGGCATCCACATCCTCACTGCGAGCCAACAGCCCTGAGATCTTCCACCTCTCCTCTCATTCACTGAGGACATGCTGAAACTGCCGCAGCTGAGGAAGGAGAAGGAGCTGTGCGTGCATGCCAGGGCCCCTTGTCACTGGTATCAGTGCATTGGCACTAATGAAGGTATTTCTCTCTGAGTGTACAGTTGCTGCTGTGGCTGCTTGCAGACGTTCCCCGTGGCACACAGGGCATTGCTTTGTAAATTGTATTCAGATACCTACTGTAAAGTTAGCTTCACTGGTGCCAGCACGATGCAACAGCTTAATTGCTGCACACTGGCCCCTTTAAGGCTAAATTTCATAAAGCTTTTTTATCTGCAGTTTCCTAAAATATAATCTGATAATTAATGGTTTGCTGAATCCATTATGAAGTGCAATTAGATAGATGCAGGGTTCCTGTGGCTCTGAGGGGACTGGTAGCATTTATCTTCCTTTCCCTCATGCCAAAATGTTGAACTCTGCCACTGCGATATTTACATACGGAGCGGTGATCCCCGCCGCATCTCACAGCCCGAGACCCTGCGGCGAGCAGCGCCCATTTTATCACGCTGCCCGGAGCCACGGGAGCGCAGGAGATGAACAGATTGGAGCTTTCCAGCAGCATCTTGTGCTGGCTGCTCACAGTCACCAGGCAGAGATGGTCCTGCAGGAGCATGACAGGGTGGTTGTGCCAGGGAGATGTTTCGTTGTTCCTGTTACAGCTTGAAGGAAAGAAGTGAACAGCAAGGAGTGACCCCAGGAGAGGCTTGGTGGAGCTAATGTTCTGCATGACATTTTTTGTCTCTGTGTGGCAGCAAGCATATGGCTCTGTTGAAGCATTGTACGTGTAGTGAAGTGCTCCCACCTTTCTCTTCCTTGTTGCATGTGTGGGTTGTCCCCCAGGCTTTGCGTTGATAGTGAAATGGAGGGAGTGCGAGGTTAAGTTGCCACTGAATCTAGGAATGACCAGGAGATGGTGCTCAAGGTCTTGAGGATTAGTGCTACACGGCCAGGTGCCTCTGCACCTTTGCTGAAGCTCCTTAGCCTTCCCAGGCCTTACCCAGCTCCTGGACTGGCAGGGGTGGAGAGCCCTTAAGCCACTGCCAAGCTGAAGGACAGCTCCAGGCCCTGGATGGGACACCTCCAGTCCTGGAGATGGCTGGAAATGGGCTGTGGTCACTGCTGGAGAGGGTGCGATTCATTTGTTACTGAGGTGAAGCAGTGAAAAAGCCTGGCTTCCCCCCGGGTCAGGAGGAGAGCGGAGAGGGAGCTGCTGGAGACCACCTCAAGCCTGCGTGGAAACAGTGCGTGGTGCTGCAGATGAGCATGGGGATAATGACAGAACAAGCAAATGTGTCTTGATGGTCTCCAAGCAGATGTGCTGAGAGGTAAGTGGTGGATTCAATACCACAGGCTGGTGGAGGTGGAAGCTGTTCCCCTTTTTCTGGCTCCATGGAGACTGGAACCTGTGGAAATCCTGCAGAGGCAGGTAAAACTGATCCTCCTTTGTTCCTGAAAAGCTCTGGAGGAAAACTAAAGGTTTAGCAGAGTCTGAGGAGAAATTGCCTTATTTGTAGCCCTCTCATAAGGCTTAGCCTAGGGAAGAGCATGTGAGTAGTGCATTTTGACTTTGATCCGTTCAGTCCCTGTTGACCAAGTGTTGTCACAGTAGAAGGGGGATGGTGTAAATCACACATCAGGTACAGTTCAGGCTCACGTCTCCAGTTCCGGGCCATCTCTCCTGCCTTTGTGCCCAGCAAGAGCCTGCGTGGATGTAGCCTCGGCAGAGTCCTGCCAGCAGGATACACCCAGTGAGAGCTCTGCAGCTGTGCAGAGACTATCAAGCATCCCCCGTATCATTATGAGGAGATAATAACTCCGATCTCCCCGTTCCAGTTCCTTCTTGATGGATGAAATGCGCACGTCAGAGCAAATTGCAGTGTTAGCAACACCTATGTCCTACCCGGAAGGAAGATGCGATTCCAGGGCACATCCTGGTCTGGCGTGCACAGTGCTGAAGATGCTGATTGCTAGCGGTTTCTTGTTATGCTGCATATGTTTTTTTCTCTCCATAATAATAAAACATTGAGAATGAAAGATGTAGCAGCACAGCAATTGATAGGAAGGAAAGCTCCTTGTTTCTGACAATGTGATTTTTGCAAGTCTTCTCGTAGATGCTGGCTGACCCATGGGGTTATGTGGGGTCCTGTGGCTCTCTCGACCTTGTTGCCATCCTCTGTCAGGTCAGGCTGGAGCACAGGACTGTCCTGCCCCTCGCTCTGTCCTCCTGTTGCAGCTGCCAGGTGCTCCTGGAAAAAGGGCAGAGTGCCTAACGGAAGCCTGGGGAGTAACATCCCGTGGAGGATTTTAGATCCGTTAATGATGATCTCTCAGTGCATGAATTGGTGCACCTATTCAGGGTACAGGACCAAGCTTGTGGCTGTTAGGAAATGTCTGTTTTCTGCACAACTTTGTTCTGACCCAGTGTCTGCCCTGATCTCTGGAGGACCCTTTGGAAAAGGCAGGGTGCCACTGGGTGCAGCCACAGCTGTGAGCAGCTCTCACTTAGCATTTCTCAATGCAAAATGTAATTTTGCAGCCCCAAGGTGTTACTTTAACACAGCCTATGCAGTTTCTGTGCTCTGGGATTTGTTTCTGGTTTGTGTTTCTCTGTTTTAAATCCAGTCCATCTGCGATTAGGAGCAAAGATGCTGCTGCCTTGCCCAGGAGCGAGGGATGAAGGTGGCAGCAGCACAGAGAGAGGTCGGACGTTGCTTGAAGTCCCTTGTGGGGGAGAGGAGGAGCAAAGCAGGTACTGGTGGTCTGAAAACCCCCATGTGAGTGGGGCAGGCCCTGACAGCCCTGGCCGCTGTTTTATTACCGGGCTGCCAGCATATCCCCAGCGGTTTCAAGCGCCGCAAAAGGAAAGCGACGTTTTCGGCAGCCGCCAGCTCAGCCCAAGCCGAGTGGTGTTTCGCAGGGCAGGGGCGAGACGCTTCAGCAGCCAGAGGGAATTCCCTCTCCCGAATATCAGTGGTTGGCTGCAGAGCCGAGGCACTTCCCTCGGAGATGGGCTCAGTAACCTTTTAGTGATGGAGAGGAGTGGGCTGGCTGATGGAGGGGCTCAGCTGCCTCTCCCATCGGTTAACACATCTAATCCCCCAGCACAGTCAGCTGTATGGCGCCTTGTTGCAGTAAGGCGCCACAAATCCTAATTTCCTGCATTAAAATAGTAATTCCTTTGATCGGATCTCCAGCCAGCCTTTCACACGCAATGGGAGTGCAAGCAAAAGACCTCGCTTTGCCTTCCCTGCACCATTTGTTATCACTTAAAGCAGGAAATCTGCCCAGGTTTCTAATAATTCTTGAGCAAACCTGATAAAGTGAGCTAACTCTTAATCCACTTAACATGAGACACAAGGATGCTTTGTAGCACCTGCTATATATATATAGCTCTCATCTACAAACAGGAGAGGGACCAGGGAGCACCTGTGAGTTGGACCATGGTACCTGCTTTCTGTGACCTGCAAGGAAACAGAGTCCTTGCAGGTGAAGTGTAGGGTGAGACAGGGGCTGGAGGTTGCAATGAGGAGCAGTGGGGTTCCAAATTGCCTGGTATATGGGTGCAGTCGAGCTGTGTGGATCTTAGCATCACAAAATGTCACGCTGCGAATCTGGGCTGTGCAGAGACTGCGGCCAGGCTGTCTGAGAGCACCCTGAGCTCTGCTGGTCGTAACCGGAGATGTGTGGAGCTGTGAGCGACGTTTGGGGGCTTTAGTAGCTGCTTTTGGCAGGATTCGGGAGGTGTTTGCTGCCCCCTGCTCTGAGCGTTGCTGCAACTCGATGTCATTCACCCACAGCAGCGTGTGACAAGTAAATGACAAACTGGAGGCTGTACAGGCAACAACTACTAGCACTAGTCAAGGGGTGGAAAATCTGCCTTGTGTGAGAGCGAAGGAGCTGTAATTGCGTGGCTAAGACATGAGCTGGTGGCAGCCTTCACCCCCTGTGCCGGGGGCTGTGTCTGCTCCTGTCTGTACTCCAGCAAAGGCGAAGTGCTGAAGGGCATCAACACTCATAAGGGTCCATCTGTACAGAGCACAAATGCTTGCATTTGCCTTATTTTCCTTCCCATCTCGTACACCCTTGAGATGCCCAGTGTTGAGGGCAGTCCAGACAGCGACCTTTTCACTTCTAACAGGAGCAGTCAATCCCTGCCTTGTTGCCAGGGGGCTCAGGCTCAAGTTTGCTGGCCGATATTTCCTTCATCGCTGGGATTAGG